TGTGTGTGTGTGTGTGTGTGTGTGTGTGTGTGTGTGTGTGTGTGTGTGTGTATGTATGTGTTCGTGTGCATGCATACATGCGCATGTCTGGGTATAGACAACTCAGTGCAGCAGGCAAGTGTTTGCTAACGGCTATTGCGCAGGCATGAACCCATCTTCCACCCTGAAGCTTTGTAATGGATTATCACCTCTGCCTCTTGCCATCAGACTACCCAGACAGCTCTTGTTTTCCTTCTTGTGAAACATACTGAGATGATGTTTCAGGTGCATCCGTGTGGTTACATTCATTTCTTCTTTTCTGATAATAAAAGCATAAAGATTTTATGGAGCACCTACCAAAACCAAGGAATTAATTCCTTCCCGTAATTATCCACTTGATGACTGGGCAACTCTAATTCCTGATCAATCCCTAAGGTGTTGAAACGTACATGCTTATGACTACTTACTGGCACTCAATCTGACATTAAGATTACCCAGAAGTAATTAAATCTCTCCGCCACAGGACACCCTCTCAAAGCTCAGAATTCAGAAGATGGCCACCTATGTTGTTTGTCACTCCCACACATGTGCTCACACATGACCTTGGATTCTTTCTGAATAACACTGTTTACCAGAACCTTTATTATTCTTTTGTTTTCTTCTTAGATGGTCTTCTGTCTTTCAATAGCTCTGTCTGAGCCCAGAATTCATAAACAGAGCAAATGTGGTCTGATCCCCAGTGAGCACTGGAGAGCCAGCTCCACTCTCAAATGCTCTATTGCTATTAATACAGGAGATTGATTTTTTCGAAAGGGACATCACACGGTGTTGACTCACCATCTACAATCAACAGGAGGCTCTAAATCTTCCTGACGTGTGTGCTTGCAAGTCATCGCTCGCCCACTCTGTACCTGTTTAATTGGATTCAGGGATCTTTGAGGCTTGATACTTGTACCCATTAACTTCATATTGCCAGATGATTCACTACAATCCGTCAGCACTGGGGTAGAGGGGATCCTGACTGAATCCATTAAGTGACTACCCCCCTACTTGTATGTCATCTGTCTATTTGCTTAGCATGCCATCAACGTTATCATCTTAGTCATCAGTAAAAAATGTCAAGGGGAAGAGGGACGTGTACCGGATCCTCCAGAGACCAATGCACATTTCAGTACCTTAAAAAACAGGAAAAAAAGAAAGAACCTTCACTCGATCAGCAAATTGTGGTATCTTCCATGTACCGTTTTAAGTCCTGAGCATGTAGTGCTAAACAAACTCTCTGCCCCCCTGAAGTGTACTCTTCGGTCACCTTGACTGGATTTAGAGTCACCATGGAAACGCACCTCTGGGTGCATCTGAGGATGGGAAGATGCACTCTGAATTCAGATGGCCCCGTCCCATGGGAGGGGATCCTGAAGCTAAGAAAAAGGAGAAGTAGCAGAGGTCCTCCCTTCATCCCTCTCTGGTGACTGGGGACATAATGTGACCAGTTGCCTCACAGTCCTCCTACCTTGCCTTCCCTGTCATGATGGGCTGTATCCTGTTTTCCCTTCAGTTGCTTTTTATCAGGTATTTGGTCACAGCAAAGAGAAAAACAATGTCGTGAGATAGGCAATTTTTAAAAAGGAAGACAAGAAAATAACAGTGAATGTTAAACAAATGCAAGTAAGAGAATATGAAAACTTGGAGTTGAGGATGGAGGAGGGGGCTGTGTGTGGAAGCCAGATGTCTAGTGCAAGGTTGTCTATGGCATGCTGCTCCTGTCCTGAATTCTTAGCACACGTTTGGCTCAAAGGTGCTCCACTATGATCAGCAAGTCTTTCTGATTCCTCAAAATCCCCTTTCTCTAAGAGGAATCACATTAAAATAAAAAAAAAAATCAATACAACTAAGACAGAGGGCATCAGCCAGTTCACTCAGGGGAGAGGCTGGCAAAGAGAAGAGGACCAAATGACACAAGCTGACAAGGCATATTCTAGGGAACATGGACTATTGAAGAGTTGGGCCGATTGTGTGTTAGCATTTTGTAGAGGCAGCCATCAAGACTGGGGATTGGTTTGGGATATATACAGGGTGAATTATGATTCATTCATTAAGACAACAAACAACATGAAGACAAGACGGAGAAGCTGTAGGGGAGGCATAGACACATGCCTTAGTCATGTTTGTGATGCCTGGGGAGATTCACAGAGCAGAGACAGGCAGCTGGATCTGGTAACTGCATGAAATATATTTAGAAATCATCAACACAACTCTGCTGGTTAACTTGTGTCAGCTTGGCATGAACCTAGATATACTTTAGAATAGGGAACCTCAATTGAAAACTTGCCTCCATCAGATTAGGTCTTGGGTATGTCTTTAGGTCAGTTTCGTGACTGCTAATTGATGTAGCAGGACTCAGTCCACTCTGGGCAGCGCCTTCCCTAGTCAGGTGGGCCTGGGCTATATCCATAAGGTGACCGATGGAGGGAGCCAGAGAAGGCGTGTGATTTGTAAACGGAAATAAACCCTTCCCTCCCCAAGTCGCTCTTTGTCAGTGTCTTATCACAGCAACAGGGAAGCAAACTAATACAGCACAGAATAAGTGGATTCACAGGGGTGAACGAGACAGCCTAGGAGGATGTAAAGAGCCCAATACAAAGCCGAAAGCCTGGGCAGAGAAAGGATTCCCCCAAAACAGGAAGGAGGCACATCCAAAGTATCAGGGTGAGGGATGCCAAGGGTAAGACACATTTCAGTAAACAGGCTGGGGTCAACAAAGGCAAACAGTGTTCAGAGATCAAAGATGAAAGATCAAGGATCCACAGGTGCACAAGTTCAGGACCAGTGAGCTGAGATGTGAACAGAACCAGTGCACACAGCCAGCCATTTGGAAATGTTTGCTTTGAAGGTGGAAGATGACATACCATATCCTTAGACTCCGCCCCCCCACCAAAGTGGGAAATGGGGCCCTCCTGAAGGCTACCTTCATCAGATGAAGGATATCCACAAGGGACCCCTACCTCCTTGAAGGCAGTGTAGTTGATTCATGTCAGGTATCCGGGGAGTCACAGCTTGCAGGTCAAGGAGTAGTCTACCAACTAATGCTGGGCTTAGCTAAAGCCATCAAGTAAACCAAATCCGCCTTGTATATTCTCCCTCTAGGTCTCAAAGGTCCACACAGGCTTCCTGGACCAAGGCTCGCTGTGATGGATGAAGGCCCATCTGAGTTCTTGAGCAGCCCATCGCTGAAGTGACAGCGACTGGGGAAGATTTGCTTGTCACACTCACTGTCTCTCCCCTATTGTCATGGCGGTCAGAGGGAGGGAAGGAGTCTGGTCACCTTGGACTCTGGAACAGGCAGCTGGCCCCACAGCTGGCCAAGCAGCTATGCAAGCAGGGAGCCTCTCTGAAAGCAAAATCCAGAAGCCAAAATAAATGGGTCAGGTGGAAAACAGATGACCACAACGGCAAGCACTACTGAAGGTTGGTCCTGGGGAGTGAAGGTGAGACACAGACACAATGAAGGGTTTGGCAAGGGGAAAGGGTAGGAAGCTTGCAAGAAGGTGAACCAAAGAAGCATAGATGTGTGAACACACACGCACGCACACACACACACACACACACACAGACACACACCTACCTCATGCACACATATACTCCAAAGCATCATCTCAGTTACTCTGCATCTTCCCTGACTCTGTTTGTGTTCTCGGCTTCCATGATAGGAGTTCAGTTTTCTAATTCCATCTTAGTGTGGGTCCCGGGAACCAAACTCAGGCCAATAGGCTCGCGGGGCAGGTGCCTTTACTCACCCAGCCCACCTTGAACAATGAAACAAAATTTACATTTGCACAAATCCACAAGCAGGATTTCCATAGCCCTTCTCCCCTACATGATCCTGAATTCCAAGAGCACAGGAAAGTTGTGGCCTGGCGCTGCTCAGCCATGCACACAGGCACCAATCAATGCTAACTAGCCAGACCACCACACAAATCAGCTAGCCTCTCCCAAGTGCCCAAAGGGGAAACAGAGGCTTGGTAGTTCACTTAGGCCTGACTTCACCAGTGGGAACACTATTTCCAAAACATAACCCTTCCAGGTGATCCTGGGTTCTGGGAAACACACAAAGCCTGAACCAAAAGGCTTGTCTGTCTTCAGCTCCTGATCAGAGTGCAGAAGAGAAAAACAGTGTTGAACAGCACACACCAACCCACTGGCATTACAAACGGCTGAGCAGCAGTTCCAGCTACAGATTTTTTTGTTAATCTCATTTTACTCAAGTCAATAATCATTTACCTGCTGACTATTGCTTAAAGCAGAGTTTTCATCTAATTCTCAGTTAATAGGCCCGAAAAGGAAAAACTAAATAATAATACCTCACTTAAGTATAAGTTTATCTTCCAAGAAGACACCATAACTATGTAGACTTTCTAAAGCACCCTGACAATGTTTTTATAATGTAAATACTAAAAAGGGCTATTAGCATCTTACACACTGGGCGTAAAAGAAACCCTGCAGGGTTGGAGTGACAGGACTGGATCAATGGAACTTCACTTTGAAGGGGTTCTAGGTGGTATGCTCCTATTGTTGCTTTTTCGAGACAGGGTTTCTCAGTGTAGCTTTGGAGCCTATCCTGGCACTCACTCTGGAGACCAGGCTGGTCTCGAACTCACAGAGATCCGCCTGCCTCTGCCTCTGCCTCCCAAGTGCTGGGATTAAAGGAGTGCTCCACCAACGCCCGGCAATTGTTTTTATTGCCTTAAACCAACATGCTTAGAGATGATCACTTCATTCTTAAATTTTAAGGAGAAAAATACCTTGCTTAAATAACATGGACCAAAACACCTGTAGGTTCCTCGATCAAATCTTTTGTGCAAACCTAACCGAATTTTGGAAGTACCACTATATTATACAAATTCTGCAGAGATGTAAAACTGTCAATTTTATTCTGTTTTTCAGACAGGCTCTCAAGTAGAGCAGGCTAGCCTTGAACTTGCTATAAAACAAAAGCACCCTCTTGTATTCCCCAGCCCGGGTTACAGGTAACCCCACCTGGTGTTACCTAATCCTATTAGTTTCCATTTGGGAGGTCCTGATTTCCCAACCGTCCATGTATTAATTCATTTGCTCATTTATTCGGTCACACTCTTAAACATTAAGGTATCCGCTCAACAAACTTGGTGTTCAGGGCCCATAAACACTCTTCTAAATGCAAAGGATAAAAACAGGTATAAGATCATAGACTTCAAGACACGTATGAGCCAAGGAGAGTGTGGAAAGATTCCGCAAATGTTGTGAACTGCAGTGGGGGTGGAACGGGAGCTGTGGCTTTGGGAGCACAAAGCGGGGATCTGGCTGGCAGAGTGGGTGAAGACGGCCTCCTCCCAGTGCCTGTCATTCCAGGAAGAGGCTATGGTTGTTCCTGGTACACGGAACATGATGTGCAGAGACACAGACAAGTAAGGCAGAGACAACGGATGCAGCTGGAGAACTACAGAGTCTGTGTATCAGAAGCTTCTGCAGTCAGTCACTGCACAGGCCCTAGACAAACCCAGAAATGACTCTATAAAGGGAAATGTCTAATCCATAGCCATCTACACACAATGTATTCTGCATCTGTACCCAAAGCCCTTCTGGGAACTTGACTCCGTATGGGACACCACACAGAGAACGGCAGAAAATCAGCACCAATCCAGTCTCCTAGAGGTTTGTATCCGCCCAGTTTCATAACAGCTAAAGTCTAGGGAATAACAGTTAAGCCTGGTTTCATCAAATCTAGGAGGTTGCTTAACCCATCTCCATTATTAAATTAATACTTTTATATTGCAATATTTCAAAGGACAGCATGTTCAAACACACTCAGTTGGGCAGGACAGGCTTTCCTGCCCACCTCTTCTAGAGTACGCAGGCTTAGTGCTGCCCTGTCCAGAAAAGGGTGAGAGCCAGTCTGGTAGGCCTTATCAGCAACCCGACATACTAGCAATGAGTGTTAGCGATAGTTCCTAAAAACCCTACCCATATCCCCACTGTGAAGACTCTTCTCCAAGCAGCCCCACATGAGAGGACCTGTCTCAGTTAGGGTTTCTACTGCTGTGAAGAGATACCATGACCACAGCCAACTCTTATAAAGGAAAACATTTAATTGAGGGGGCTTGCTTTCAGTTCGGAGGTTCAGCTAGGCGGTGGTGGCGCACGCCTTTAATCCCAGCTTTTAGGAGGCAGAGACAGGCAGATCTCTGTGAGTTCGAGGCAGAGGTCCAGTCCATCATGGTGGGGAGCATGGTGGCATGCAAGCCGATATGGTGCTGGAGATGAAAGTCCTACGTCTTGCCTCAGAGGCAACAGGAAGTCTATTGACTTTCACCCTGAGTGAAGTTTGAGAAAAAGACCTCAAAGCCTGTTCCCACATCGACACACTTCTAACTGAAAGTGTGGCCCAAATTAAGGGTGTGCCCTCTAGTCTCAAGGTCTAGATTAAACTCAGGTGTCATCCAGCCTCCTCCAAGACCACACTTCCC